TTGTAAGCAATATAAGTCTCTGTGTTTACTTGGTTGGGTCTGAGCAGCTGTGGAATTGGTGGGTGACAAAGATTTGTCCTGACTGTGGGCAAGGCAGGAAAACTCTAGCTACACATGTGCACATACCCACGTATACACAAAGAATAAGAAATGGAAAGGTATCAGTGGCCTCTGTGACAAGGGAGAACAGTGGACAGCTTTGTTACTGATACAGCCACATCATGAGACGAGCCTGTTTCCAACACTGGAAGCGTGCACACTCCATTACCAGGCAACTCCACAGGCAGGTGAGACATGACTGGACACACATAACAGGAGGAAAAGAAAATTCCAGATAGTGTGGTGGAATACTACAAGGCTGGAAAAAAGGTGTGTGTGTGGTGGGGGAATTGCAGCCACAAGTAAGTCGTATCACCTAAGGTGGAGAGCAAAAGCAAATTCCAGGAAACTCCGTAGAGAAGCAGCTTGGCGGGAGCATTCTCGGGCCTGGCAGCCAAGCGCACAGTTCAGACAACTGATCCGAGACAAAAGGAAACCACAAGCATGGAACTCAGGGAGTGAAGGGTGGGTTGAAGACATGCAGAGTCCAGGCGCCACGCTTGCCTGAAGCCCAGGAGCTGCCACTCTGATGAGGCAGGCTGGACGTGGATCGGTGCCAGCTGCTCACTGATAAGAAATGCCACACACAAACCCTGGAAGATTATACAGCACAGCCTCCTCTTATAGAGAGCGAGATGTCACAAGAGGGGCAGGGCAGGACTACATAGAAAGTGACCTGACACCAGGCTGGCCCGAGTCTGCACTCAGCTTGGACCCAGGATGAAATATATACATCACACACACGACAATGTAACTAACATATAATATGTAAGATACATGTTCTTGAGTATATATTACAAATGTTGTGTTATCTATAACGAGCATTCACAGAGCAATTGAAACCGTGAACGCTGCATTTTATGTGAAAATTTTCTCACTTTCAGGAACGACAGTGGTAAAAGTAGAAAAATTTTTAAAAAGTCCTTAGGTTTTGGAGACTAGGTCAGGGAGCCCAGGCTAGCCTCAGACTCCCTCTGTAGACCAGTGATGATGCTGAACTCCCGATCCTCCTGCCTGTACCTCAGCAGTCTGGGATGGCAGGCACCCCCCCCCCAGCATGCTTGCCATGTGCTGCTGAGATGGGACCCAGGGCTCCCTGCTGACTGAACCACACCCCAGGCTCTTTTAGGGAGTCATGACTGAGGGGTTATGTAGTCAGCCTTTGTTTTTCTAAACAAAGAGGGGCTCAGTGGTCAGAGGGGCTCTGGTTTAAATTTGCATTTAAGGAGTATCAATAGGTAGTATGTGATTTTGCTTCTTACTTGTTCATGCAGTTGATAAAACACGCAAGCCTTCGTCTACACACACGCCTCTTTCCTCCCTGAAGCCTGGGGCACATCGCTAAGCAGAGGAAGACAGGGTAGGAAGTCCTTATTTAGAGCCAACCAAAGACAAGGGACAAAAGGACCTGCTCAAATCGGCCATTCAAACCTTAAAACATCAATTATGTTAAGGCCATGAGTTCATAATGGCTCCAAATAAGTCTCACACACACAACTCCAATTGATCACCAGGGAAGGATGTTAATAAACCGACCTATTATTTTTAAAATGGTAAATAATGGAGAAGAATCGGGGCATTCATCTGGCCTTCCCATCTGTCTGAATTCTCCCATTGTGGGTGCAGGGAAGTTTCCCTTTATAGCTGTTTTCCAGCTTACCGGAGAGGAAGGGTTGGCTGGATGGGAACAGAGCATCACCCAGCGCAGTTAGTGTACCAGGGGATTTGTGGGGGGACACATTCCCTAGCAAGCACTACTAACCTCCCAGGACAGAGGCCACCTGAAGTCCCACCCCTCCCAATGAGGATCACCACCTTCTGTGTCTGTCAATAATGCTAACATAAGTGACTTCCAGAGGCAGAGGACCAGGCTGAACCCCACCCCCACCCCCACCAGAACAAAAGAAACAGAAAGAAACTGGGCCAGGAGAAACTCCACAGGACAAGTCACCACATCCAGGTTTCTTGCAGTAAAAATGGTTGACTTCATGCTGTGATAGGCCCATCCTTATCAAACATTGGGGGGGGGGCTATTTAACAGAGGAGCAATGGAGCAGTGTGGGGTAAGACAAACAGAACAAAGGCAGCCACTCTCTTGAGCGAATTCTAACGCAAACACATGATAAAATCATAAAAGCAAACAAGATGGGCTGGGAAACAGCCCAACAGTAAAGTTCCTGCTGCATGCAGGACCCAGGACCTATGTAAAAAGTCTGGTCATGCTGGCATACACCAACAACACACCAACAACCCCAGTCCTGGCAAGACAGGTGGACCCCTGGGGTTGGACAGCCAGCCAGATCCGTGAGCTCCAGGTTCAGTGAGAGACCCTGACTCAAAAAACGTAAGGTGACAAGTGAGAGAGGAAAAGACTAGATACTGACCTCTGACCTCCAGGGACATACGAGGAGAGAGAGAGAGAGAGAGAGAGAGAGAGAGAGAGAGAGAGAGAGAGAGAGTCTAAGGTCCCCCAGCCATGAGGAGGAAGGCAGCGGGTTGACAGAGGCAGTGAGGGCTTCCAAGGTCCCCACCTGTGTGGGTCCTGCCTTAGGCAGTCACAGGGTCAATGATGCTTCTGAAGTGAATCACCAATTTAAATGGCCGTGGGTCCCCGTGGGAATGTGACCAGGGCCAGCCAGGCACAGGACAACCAGCAGACGGTGTGATACTAAGCAGCCAGACCCCAGCCCTCCACCTCGATGCAGGAGGCAAGTGGTGGGGGTGTGGATGCAGGTGAGTGGCTGCCGTCACAGGAGACCACTATGCCTGGGCTGCCTTGCTTTTGACTCCTGATAGCTGCTGAGTGGAATGTGGGCCGAAAGGAGCCAGGTCCCTGGCTTCTCTAAGAGACACTGGAAATCTATTTTCTGTACAATTCCCCACATCTGAGAGCTGACTACAACCCAATCCATGTGTTAGGAAGACATGGAGAGAACTATTTAATCAGTTTGGGGTCAATTCATTTTAGGTGCCCAACAAAGCTGAGAATTAAAAGACCCCATCAACTCCCAGAAATCTGTAAGCACCAGCCGCTGGCCAGTCCACAGGCATTCCACCATCCTCCGTTTACACAACAGAACCTCCACTTAGTAGAGACTTTTGGAAAACCAGCAGCCAGGGAGTGTCCTTCCAGCTTTTCTGGGGCAGCAAAATCGAAGGGCCACAGATGAAACTCATTTGTTAGTTCACAGCACGCACTTTCGTCCAAAGTGCCTGCAGCCAGTGGTCCTGCCGCAAACTCACGCTGGGCGCCCCACGCTGGATGCCATGGGAGCCAGGGGCTGCCCGCTCTGCTCGCCTGTCCAGAGATCTAGCTTCAGAGACGTATAGAGGGTGAAACAGACATCAGTCCAAGCCCGCCAGGCTTTGTGCCTAAGGACCGCAGCAGACACTGCTCACGCCCAACCCTGAGTGTCTTCACCCACAGACACAGAACGGGTGGTGTGGATGAGCAAAGCAGACCTGGCCCTTCCTTTATAAATGGTCTCAATGTGACTGGATCCCCAGATCAGTAAAAAATTAAAGAGGTGTCAAGTACACCATGGGAAAGAGCCAAGCCGATGGTTTAATCATCCCCAAGACCCAAGCCCTTCTCCAGGTGCTAAATCCAAGTCCAGCGCATCCAGGGCAAGAAGCAAGTCCAACAGAATGGTAGAGGGCAGAGACCAAACCCAAACAGCAGCTCTGTGGGATGGGAAAAGCCTACAAATTCTTCACACAAGAGGCACAGGGTGGGGGCTCAGCCCCTGGGAGAGCGAAATTCCACCAGCTGCCCAAAGTGAATTTACGGCTGGGGAGGAAAGAGCAGAGAAAAGCATAGAAGGAAGATTCAGCTAACTGCTGGCCAGTCAGATCCTAGCCTTGAGCCCCTTTTTGGGGTGTGCTTATGCCCAGAGAGGTAGGCTACAGCTAGAGCATATATTTGAGGGAAATAAATAGGTATTTATATATTACATAAACACACAAGACTACTTTAGGGGTGGCCTGGGAGATGGGCCCAGCACAGTCTACAACACTCTATGTCGTGGCACCCCAGTTTTGCCCGGAGTGGCTGTAACATCTGCCCTGATTCAAGTGAGTTGCCAGGGGCTCCTGCACACCGTGCTCACTAAGACACAGCGACAGCCGGGCCCTTCTGCCTCTGTCCTAATAGGAACTGAAGTATAGAGAGGTCGCTCTGACATTTGCCAAAAGAGCTACCCCTTCCCTTTGTCCAGCCAACTCCCTTTTCCCACTTGTGACTGCAGAATACAGCCTGCGAGGAGGTGACTGTTCAAAAGAGCTCACGTGACTCACAAGGAAAGACACTGGTGCAAACGGGTAATGGCCACCTTGGTTCTCCGTGCTGGGTACCGTCTGCTCATGGAGGACCTGTTACTCTGGCATCCAGGCTGAGTGGACAGCTGCTCTGGAGAAGACTTTCTGTGGTCTAGTGTCTTTTGACCTCCAAGAGCAAGAGCCCATCCTCTGAAAACGTCTACCTCGCAGAATCCCAGAGAGAGGCAGAGCTTGCTGGAGTCCGGCATCAGCAGCCTGAAGGCAGCATTGTGTTGTGAGCCAGAAGCGGAGAATGACCAAAGTCTAAGCGGCACAACACGTGAGATACTAACGGGGGCAGGGTGGAGGTACACTGAGGCACAACACTGAGGCACCGCTGGGAGAGGAGAGACTCAGGTCCACTACAGGCTCACTTAAGTGATCCGCAAATGGTAACCCTCGTCATCTCGGGGCGGGGAGTGGTGGTTTGCCTGTGCACAGGTGGGGTTTCTGAACTTTGGGAGTTTTTAAGGTGCCTTTGCTGAAATGACGAGAGGAAATCCAGCGGGATGAGAGGGATTCAGGCTGAGTCAACCCCAAGGCCCTTCTGTAAAGCCCAGCTTCTCTC